ACAGATAAGTACAACAACTAAAACAGATAAGACTTTATATTTAAACTAAGATGATAAAAGCTATCTGGTAATACCCCCCGTCAAGCTAATGGGTGGTGGTCCAACTCTTAGCTTGGATCGAAACTGCTCAAAGAGGGGTCTGGGAAGACTTTTAGTGAATATATCAGCTAGCTGCAAGTGTGTAGGAACGTGTTCTATTTTGAGTTTGCCAGAAGCTACGAGTTCGCGAACAAAGTGATAATCAATGTCGATGTGTTTTGCCCGTTTGTGTGCAATTAGATTTTGACTAAGGAACAGAGCACTCTTGTTGTCACACAGAAGAGTCGGAACTGTAGATGGTAAAGCATGAAGGTCGCGTAACAAGTAAGTTATCCAAACAATTTCCGAAGCGGTGTTCGCCATGGCTCGATATTCAGATTCACAACTTGACCTGGATACAGTAGGTTGCTTCTTGGCACTCCAGGATACAAGGTTACCACCTAGAAAAATGGAGTAACCATATGTGGATCGTCTCGTCTCTATACAACGAGCCCAATCAACATCTGAGTAACCAAGGGTAGAAGAGGATTGGGGTCGACGAAAATGCAAGCCATAAGAGAGTGTGCCTTTGACATAACGAAGAATACGCTTCACCGCTTGAAAGTGATCAGTTGTGGATGCTTGCAAAAACTGACTGGCTTGATTAACAGCAAAGGAGAGATCTGGTCTTGTGATCGTGAGATACTGAAGAGCTCCTACCAAGGATCGAAACAATGTCGGATCCGAGAATAAGTCACCTGTTTTAAGGAGGTGATCAGTAGGCGATAAGGGTGTGGTGGTATATTTGGAATCAAGCAATCCAGCACGAGTAAGTATGTCATGTGCATACTTAGCTTGTGTAAGAAAGAGACCAGTGTCAGTGTATGTTACTTCAAGACCAGGAAAGTAATTGAGACATCCAAGATCCTTAGTGGCAAACTCTATGTTGATCCGATTGATGAAGTTGCGGATAATGCTAGAGTTATTCCCGGTGAGAATAATGTCATCGACATACACAAGAAGGTATAGCAAAGTGGATCCTTGTTTGAACACAAACAAGGATGTATCCGCACGACTGCATGAAAACCCAAGCGCGAGAAGAAAGGTACTAAACCTTTGAAACCAAGCTCTTGGTGCTTGCTTAAGTCCATAAAGCGCTTTTTTGAGACGACAAACATACAAAGGATACTTTTCATCAACGAACCCCGGAGGTTGTTCCATGAACACAGTTTTAGAGAGCATGCCATTTAAAAATGCATTTTTAACATCGATTTGATGTAATGGCCATTGATGCATGACCGCTAGAGAGAGTACAATTCGGACTATTGAAGCTTAAACTACGGGGCTGAATGTATGCGAAAAATCGAGTCCGGGGTACCTGAGTGAATCCTTGAGCCACAAGATGTGCCTTGTATCTTTCAATTGTACCATCCGAGTGAAACTTGGTACGGAAAATCCATTTGGACCCAACAACATTAGAATGAGCGGGACGCGGAACTAAGTCACCTGTGCCATTATCGCAAAGTGCTGACATTTCTTCATCCATGGCCATTAACCAATGTGGGTGTTTAGATGCTGATTTAAAACCCTTTGGAACAGTATATGTAAACAAGGAATGAACGAGACCGGTAGTGCCTAGGGAGGCCAAATCCGCAAAATGCTTGGGTTTAACAATTCCAGCTTTACCCCTCGTGATCATGGGATGTGTTGGAGGAACTATAGGCTGCGAGGGAGTTGATGACCTGGAGGGAGTGGGTTGTGGTGTGGTAAGTGGTGTATAGGAGTCGAACACCGGTGATTCTGGCAGCATAGATGGGGCATCAGTAGCAGCAGTTTCGGCTGCTGGTGAGGGAGCTACTGGCTGACAAAGGGAGCAGCGGTGATGCAGAGCCATAGGAGAATCCTCATAAGGAATGGAGTTGTCTGCTTGCGGCTGAGTTGGGGATGAACTGAGTGGTTCATCAAATGAAGTGAAGGCAAGTAAATTTAAATCTGATGAAGTAGATCTGTCAGCAAATGGGAAGATGTGTTCATCAAATTGAGCATGTCTGGTTGTGTAAATACGATTAGTAGTTGGATCCAAACAACGATAACCTTTGTACCTTATGCTATATCCAATAAATATACAAGGAATACTTCGAGGAGCAACCTTATATACGGCATAATCCCTCAAATAAGGGAAAACACGAAATCCGAAGACACGAAAGATGTCATAGTTGGGTGAAGTAGCAAAAAGTACTTCAAATGGACTTTTGGCCTTGTGGAGTTTTGTGGGTAACCGGTTGATAATGTAAACGGATGATGTAAACGCATCAACCCAATAAGATGCGGAAGCGTGTGCATTAAATAATAAAGCAAGACCCGTTTCAGTGATATGTCGGTGTTTGCGTTCATCCCTTCCGTTTTGTTGGGGAGTGTAAGGGCAAGAGACTTGATGATGTGTGCCATTGACAAGAAAAGTATGTTGAACCCGATGGTTTAAAAAATTAAGTGCCTCCATCACTTTGAAATGTTTTTACTTTACACGAAAACTGAGTTTGCACAAAGGTGAGGAAATTTTCAAGGGTTTGTGCAAAATCGGATTTGCGTGTGAGTGGATAAAACCACGTAAACCTGGAATGATCATCAACAAATATGACATAGTATAGATACCCATCGGTGGATGGAACCGGTGCGGGGCCCCACAAATCACAATGAATGAGGTCAAGGACATGTAAAGCTCTTTTTATATTGTCAGAAAAAGGTAATTTCTTGCTTTTAGACAATTGAAAAGTGGGGCATAAATCAGGTTTAGGTAAAAGAGAAGTAATATTTAAAGAACCCAATTTTTGTAATAATGAAACAATGTCAAAAGCTACATGACCTAATCTATTATGCCATAATTCGAAAGAAGCACTAGTTCTTTTATTTCTTAAAGTGGCTAAAAACACCTTATTTCCTTGCTCAAGCACGTAAAGGCCTTCTTGACATCTACCCTTGGCGATGATTTCCTTGGTTATGCGATTCTGAATGGCAAAAAATTTATCAGACAAGAGAAAATCAACAGGTGAGTCATGAGTTAGCTTGCTAATAGATGGGAGATTCTTTGTGAGATGAGGAACCACAAGCACATCCATTAAAGTAAGATTCTTGGAAATAATTGAGTTACCAATATGAGAGATGTTGAGAACATTACCATTGCCAACTACAACTTGATTTTTTCCGTGTAGGAGGAGGAAGAGTCAAGATGTGATGAAGAGTTGGTCATGTGGCTGGAGGCACCAGAATCGACATACCAATCAGGAGTAGATGACTTGACATTGCATTGATTGTGAAATGAATGGGCTAAATTTGCATCAATAGATGCACCTTGTTGAGCATACGAGGCCAAGTCAGGACATGCAGACGCGTAGTGACCATTTTTTCTGCATAATTGGCAATGAGGGGAACGTTTACCGTGTCCCTACCACCTGAGTAAGAACCACGTCCCTTACCACGGTTAGAAGGGTTGCCACGGGCAGTTAGAGTAGATGAATTTGTGTGAGTTTGGGCAGTGAAGGCAGCAACTGTTGTGGCTGGAGAACCGTGAAGAGAATACATAAACATCTCATGGCTCTCTGCTTGAGAGAGCAAATTACGAAAGGAGGGATAGACAGGGGCTGTTCGGTGAGAGGTGGAGAACGACTCAAATGTGGAGCCAAGATCACATAAGAAGTAATGAGCCTTGTCGGAGTCGTCCATTGGATGTCCAATGGCCGCCAATTGATCACACATAGACTTGAATTTTTTGCCAAATTCATTAACAGAAGAAGATCCCTTTTTTAGTTGTCTCAATGAATCACGTAGAGTCTGTAACGTCTCACGTGAGTCATGGTTGTAGGCTTGCTCCAAAGCCTTCCAGATTTCACGGGCAGTAGCTAAGCCAAGAGATTCAGCCATAGCCTCCTCCGACAAGGAGGATTGTAAGATGAGAAGAGCCTGTTGATCAGCCTGATGCCATGCTAAATAAGCTGGATTAGGAGAAGATTTACCTTCAACTGTAATCGTAGTAGAAGGAGCGAGGGAGGACCCATCGATATGTCCCAGGAGATTCTGATGGGACAACAGTGGCTGAATTTGATTCTTCCAGAGAAGATAATTGGTGGAGGAGAGTTTGATGGTGAGAAGATGAAGAATTGTAGATAGAGGGATGATTTCGGAAGAAGAATCCATAGCGAAACAAGATGATTCTGATGGAGGGAGGTAAGTGGCGCCGATTAGGTTACCGATACCATGTAAATAATAAATTCCCCCTGAATATAGCTGATTTATTATTCACGTATATATATGGAGTACATAGGATTACAGATAAGTACAACAACTAAAACAGATAAGACTTTATATTTAAACTAAGATGATAAAAGCTATATGCTAATAGACCCACCCCATCGTCATCATCATTCTATTGGGTCCTTAAAGTTTCCCAAAATTGTGAGGGGGTTGGGATTGAGAGAGAGGTTCAGGTTTGACCACATCTACACGTCTTTGCATAAATCCACAAACATTTTCCTTTGTTAAAAGCATCTCATCATCATCAACAACTGTATCACTGATTCCATCAAGTTCCATTTAGATTATAATTTATAAAGAATAATTTTTTTTCAATTTGAAATGTCACATTTTCAACCACTTTGGCTTCACCATCTTCTTCTCACCAGCTCGCTTTTGTACTGGAGCAGCAGTTGTCACAACAAGCTCGGGAGCAGGTTGATCAGGCTCGGGTTTTGGGTTGGGTATAAGGTCGTCCAGATTTTTTAAGCCATGAGATCCTCTTTAAGAAATGGGCCTTATGCAGCAGTATTATCATCACCTTGACATACAAACACACCATTAAATAAATTTCATCAAGGTTTATACAATATTTTGTTCACATATGTAGGAGAATGCAACAAGTATCAACCTTATGGTAGGTCATATGAAAAATAGACGACTACATCAGGAGCAAAACCAGCAGAATAGAAATCCTAAGACATGTTCTTTATTTGCTTCTTGGGAGGTATAGTATCTGTAAGAAAAAAATGACAAGAATGCACTTTAATATATTTGTTCATTTCACTGTATAACATTTTATATGCTTATTAAATTATATTTTATGCTCACTTATATAGAAAGGGAGGTCTGGTCGAGCTACAACTTTCACAAGAAGATCAATTAAGCTTTGCATTGTCTCGGTTGGATGGAATGTGGCTTCTAATGTGTGGTTATCTGGGAACCTTATACGAATCACTGGCTGTATATTATATAAATAAATGAATTAATGAAAATAATATAGTTAGTTGGTTAGTTACATCATACTTAAAATTATAATCTGAAAATTAAAATTTTACAAAAGATAAAAGAAGTTGCTTCCCAATTTAAGTTAACATCTACCTTTGTAATTCTTGATCTACTAGCTGCTGCTTCTGCGTCTCTAATTTTCTTTGTTTTCAAATATTTATCTGCTCACAATTGCACATAATTTGTGATGAAAAGAGTAAATATTATAGCAACAATAACTAATAGAACATATATATGCATATAATTACACCCACCTTCTTTTTTAGTAGCCAAGATGCGATAATAATCTACAGTGGTGAATTCCAGGTCATCTGTTTCCTCTGTCCAAATGATAAAGAACATGTTCATGTGAAATCATAAAGATAACTGTGAAATCAAATGATGACTTATTACTTCTTAGTTACAAGGGAAGTGAACTTCCTAACACTACCAGAGACATCATCTGATGTTTGAGATATTGTTGCTGTTGTTTTCTCGAACACACGGATTTCCCGACCATAAGTTTGTTTTGCAGTAACAAGCTTTTCCTGAATTAAAGATATCATCAACACTTAGTATCATCATTGCAAAACATCAGGCATTGTATATCCAACATATAATAGCTAAAAAAACTTGAAGTATTGTCTTTTGTTAATTCTTTACTTTTCTTAATGCTTCAATTGGTTGTATATTCAAATTCTAGCAGTTCCAAACAAGATATTGATTGTCTACTTGTAGAAGAGATTGATTATGTCTAGGGTCAATAGTAAGTCAAATAAATAACTTTGTATGTAGGAACCTAATATATGATTTCAAATCTGTTTACCAATTACATAAGAAAAAATAAGTTAAGCAATGTTGTTCTTATGTTCCGATTTAATTGATTTTTAATCCAATACTTAAAATAATGTATTTGTTATTGATTATGATGACCAACAATTTTCAATTAGATAATAATTCTTGAACCCTAATTGATTGATTTTCCGTGATTCTTATGAAACTGATAGGAATACTTTGAAGACACAAAGATTCAAACAAGATAAACCTCTATCAGATTCAAACAACGTTACGAAAAAACTAGAACAAAAACGCAACACAAACCATAGCAAGTTGATCAGCATGGAGAATCTCCGCCGTTTTAGAGCTGGAGAATCAACTAATATATGTGAACTGAGCAATCCCAGCCTGGGAATATCTCTTGCATCACGTCTGTCACTGTAAAACTATAGAACACACCGGCGGAATGTGGGCTTGAAACCTCAACATCGTCGTATAGGTGGAGGAGGTCGAGAGCGGTGTGGATGTTTTTCACTGCCAGTAGCAGGACCTCCCAGAGTTCTTGATCGCTGCCACCTAGAACCTCGTTTCCGACTGCAATTCCACGGATACGGGTCCCGGGGACGAAGGGTTCGACGTTGTTTTTCATCCGATCCATGGCTCGATCCTGGCTTATGCTTATATCTCTCAGGAATTTGTTTCCTAGACCGATAATAATCTCGATTCTCGATCCTTTGAACGCTTTGAGAACTTCATGATCGGCGTCGTAGATTCTTGTTGTGCGAGAAAAGAGGAGTGGTGATGATATTAGGGTTTTTGTGGTATTGATCAGTAAGAGAGAAGAACGATGGAAATACGGTAGAGCATAAAATGGCGGCCTTTCAAACTTTTGGGATTTTCATTTCCCCCCAAGATGCGAAATAAGAAAACACTCCTTTCATTAAAGAAAACACTCCTTTCATTAAAGAATCTCTACACGACACTCATTTTAACTAGGGATGAGCATATGGACCGGGGAACCAGCCGGAACCGGTCCCAGAACCGGAACCGGAACCCGATGGAACCGGTCGGGCCGGGACCGATACTATAATTTCGTCAATTTTTGGAACCGGGACTCGGTAAGAACCGGTCGTTGGAACCGGCCCAAAACCGGGAACCGGACCGGATAACTCACTCAAAATTTGAAAGTTGCATAACTCACTCAATTTAACTTTTTTTTACCTGAATCTTTTTCCTACATGTAGATTATGATTTTTAGTTAAGTTTAGACTATAAAAACGCTTGATTTGGTTAAAAATTGAATGAGTTACAAGCCTTGCAAGAAAGGGTGTCAAATTAGATTTTTTTTTTATGTTTCTGCAATTAAATGTAATCTGACTTTGTTGTTCAAATGTGAATAACTCACTCAATTTAACTTGTTTTGACCTGAATCTTTTTCCTACATGTAGATTAGGATTTTTAGTTAAGTTTAGACCAGAAAAACGCTTCGTTTGGTTAAAAATTCAATGAGTTACAAACCCCGCAAGGAAGGGTGTCAAATCATAATTTTTTTTATGTTTCAGCAATTAAATGTAATCTGAATTTGTTGTTCAAATGTGCATAACTCACTCAATTTAACTTGTTTTGACCTGAATCTTTTTCCTACATGTAGATTAGTATTTGTAGTTAAGTTTAGACTATAAAATGCTTGATTTTGTTAAAAATTGAATGAGTTACAAACCCCGCAAGGAAGGGTGTCAAATCAGAATTTTTTTTTTATGTTTCAGCAATTAAATATAGTCTGACTTTGTTGTTCAAATTTAACTTTTTTTGACCTAAATCTTTTTCCTACATGTAGATTAGGATTTGTAGTTAACTTTAAACTATAAAAACAATTGATTTAGTTAAAAATTGAATGAGTTACAACCCCGCAAGGAAGCGTGTCAAATCAGACCGGTTCCAAAATCGAAAACCCGACAAAAACCGAAACCAGTAGAACCGCCAGGCCGGTTCGGTTCTTGATTTTGGCCGAAGCCGGTTCCCGGGTCGGGTTCAGCTCGGGTCGGTTCTGGCCGGTTCTTTCCCTTTGCTCATGTCTAATTTTAACATAGGTGCCCTCCGTGTTTTTAATTTTTTTTATTGGACGCTAATTTTAGGGCACGCAAAAATGTGTGTCCTCTATCCTTCATTTTTTTAAAAACAGACGTTATTTTTAGGACACACAAAAAATACGTATCGTAAATCATTGCGTGTCATTAAAGGGCGGTTTTCTAGTAGTGAATGGCACTAAAGCACTTGAATGAATAATTTCATACAAAGGAAACCTTACCTAGAAGATTAGAGATCCTAAGATCTGGGTTCAAAAGGATAACCTATTTGTATGAGTGAGGGAGGTCAATGTGTGTGTGTGTGGGGGGGGGGGGGGGGAGGGGAGTTAATGAACTTCCCAGTGTATTCCTATAATCAATGATAAGTTAGGCTAAGCACATTGCTTTTAATGATTATTTGAATCACCTATATGAGAGAGAAGTGGGGTTGCTTCGAAGGTAATTGTTAATGAGAACTAACAATATTAAACATATTTTTGCTAAACTGTCTTAATTGAGTTTTTTTCGATTAAAGTAGTTTTCTTCTATTTTTGTTTTTATTTCTGCTAATAGTTTTATATCTGTTTTGTATAAACTGATATTGTTTTGTGTAAACAGATTCATTGGTGGTTCTAATTAATTCGTTTGAATCTAATTCTATTTAGAATGACTGGACCAAGTGAAACACCAAATTCTCCCCCTATTATGAACCAGGATGTTACCACTCCAGTGCCAAACAACATGGAAAATCATGCTGAGAGACCAGAAAAGGTTTTCTGGTCTTAACTTTAAGAGATGGTAGGACAAGATGTTCTTCTACTTAACCACTCTAAACGTGGCTTGGTTCCTTATAGAAACTGCTCCCAAGTTGATAAGAGACAATCCGATACTTAATTTGTGAGCGTGATGGAAGCTTGGAGGCACTCCAAACTTATATGTTGCAACTATATGTTGAACGGGCTAGGTGTTGCACTTTACAATGTCTATTGTAAAGTTTCAACAGCTAAGGAATTTTAGGAATCATTTGAAAGGAAGTATAAGACTAAAGGAGCTGGAACCAAGAAGCATGTTGTTGCTAAATTCTTGGAGTTCAAAATTACCGAATGAAAACCTATTATGAGTCAAGTCCAAGATCTTCTAGTCATTATACATGATAATCTAGAAAAAGGGATGATTCTAAATGAGCCTTTCCAAGTTGAATGAATCACTTAAAAGCTTCCTCCCACTTGGGTAGATTTCAATAATTACCTTAATCACAAGTTAAAGGAGATGAGTATGGAGGAGCTTTTAGTGCATCTTCGTATTGAAGAAGACAATCGAATGGCCTTGAAGAAAGGTAGTGGTAGTGAATCTTTAAAGGTTCATGTTGTAGATGATGGTCAATCTTCCAATAACAAAGGAAAGGGAGCACACAAAGGAAAAAGGAAAGGGTAAAAACCTAGGCTCTAAAGGTAGAAACTTCAAGAAGAAATTCAAGTGCTACAATTATGGACGACCGGGTCACAAAGATTCGGAGTGATCGCAACATAAGAGGGATAATCCATGTCAAGCAAACATGATGAACGATGATGTAGAGTTGGTGGCCATGATTGCAAATCTTCCAGCCATGGTCTCGGAGGTGAACATCTTGGATACAAATTCAAGAGAATGGTGTATTGATACCAGAGCTACTCGTCATGTGTGTCACCACAAGAGCAATTTCAACACCTACAAGGATGTTGATAATGATGAAAAGCTCTAGATAGGACATGCAGCCACCACAGATATCAAATGTGTTGATGATGTTCTAAAAATGACATTTGGGAAAAAGTTGAAGTTTAGGGATGTTTTGAATGTTCTAGAACATCGTAAGACTCTCATGTCGGGATGCTATTTGAATAAGCTTGGTTTTAAACTTGTGTTTGAGTCGGACAAGTTTATTTTATCCAAAAGTGGTATGTTTGTGGGTAATGGATATGTTATGAATCGCATGTTCAAATTAAATGTAATGGCGACAAACAAAAAGAATGTAGCAAGTACTAGTTCTACTTATATGCTTGAGTTTTCAAATGTTTGGCATGTCCATTTAGGACATGTAAATTACAATTTTATTAGTTGTTTGGTTAAACTAAACTACATACCAAAATTTGATATTGACTCAAATCACAAACGTCCCACATGTGTTGAAGCCAAACTTACTAGATCATCTTTCCAAACGATTGATAGAAACACCGAACCTCTCAATTTAAATCATACCAATGTGTGTGATTTAAAATCGATTCCTACTAGAGGTGAGAATAAATACTTTATCACATTCATCGATGATAGCGCTAAATATTGCTACATATATTTACTTAAGACTAAAGATGAAGCAGTGGACAAGTTTGTCTTCTATAAAAGTGAAGTTAAGAATCAACTCGACAAGAAAATCAATGTGGATAGAAGAGATAGGGTTAGAGTATATGTTTCTCCATTAGCTGAATTTTGTTCTCAAAATGTAATTCGTTATTCGCCTCAACAAAATGGTATTGCTGAGAGAAACAACCATACTTTGAAAGAGTTGGTGAATTCAATGCTAATTAGTTCTAGTTTAAGCCCGAACATGTGGGGGGGGGAAGTTATTTCTTTGGCTAACTATCTTTTGAATGAGATGCCCCGCAAGGAAAACGATGAACCACCATATGAACTTTAGATGGGAAAAAAGCCACCAAACACCTATGCGCGCAGGGGATGCGAATCATGGATTTTGTAGACAAAAAACAATGAACTCGTGTGTGGGCGTGACCTGCATATACGAATGCAACTCCGAAATTTCGGGCCCACACAAGCCACATCTTTGCTAGACTTGACAGTTTTGGTCCATATTATATAGTTTTTGTAACTGATTCGTTTAATATGAGTTAATGCATGCATTTAATTTCTAATTAATGAGTGAAGTTTCAAAGATTGCTATATAAAGAGTCTCTGGCTTCTCATTCCAAAAACACACACATACGAATTCTCTCTTCTCCTTTTCTCTTCATACAAATTCTGACGATCTTTTCTAGAAAATGGTTAGATCTGGCAGTACACACTGCTTCCGCTGTTGTACCATGGGAACAAACGACGAATCTGTTTAAGGAAATCGTGTCAAACACGAGCCTTGGTCAATTGGCGGGATTAATTACTATTTGTTTTATTTTGCATATTTCATTAACGATAATTACCAGTATGTTCCTCGTTTAAGTGAATTTTGTCGGTTTTGTTGCATTGTCTATAACACTCATTTGGTCCAACATTTTCATCATTGTGGCCCACAGGCAGCTTGACTTTCCTTCTGGATACAAGTGAAAAATCTCAGATCTAGAAGAGAAGTGCATTGTAGTGTTTGGTAAGTTAAGTTCCAGTTCCTGACTTCTAGTCCATTTATAGTTCACATTGTTGACAAGTCTATAGAAGATAGTTGCATTGTAGTGCTTGGTAACCAAAGTTCTAGCTCTAGTCCCTTTATAACTTTCATTGCTAACCGGTCCTAGTGCCCTATTCTTTAGGTTTCTCTAATTTGTTTTTGTTTTCCATTCATTCAAGACATTGTGTAGTGATTTCAGAATAAGGATATTTTAGGAAACTTTCA